GTGATTACATATAATAAATGATGCTGTAAAACATATAAATTGTGTCCATGCAAAACATCTATTGCAGCTCTTAATCAAAGTCTTTGTAAACAAACATTTAAAACATGTTTACTGCCATGCATGACTTGCTGTGTAGAAGTGTGAGGAAATGCATATAAAACCAGTAAAAATCCACATTTTATAATTTGAAAGAGAGTTATAAGAGTTGTTAACAACGCTGCTCATCAAGAACCTAATTATTAACTAGTCTATTGTTTATTAAAGCCTATACAATTCTTTAAAATACTTTAAGAAATTTCAAATTTGCACAAATCATGGATAAGGAAAACGACAAATAAAACCTGTATAAAAACATTAAAAAATAAATGTATTTTTTTAAAGGGATTAATTTCCGGAACAATTACACTGAGGAACTGAAAATGTCCGGCACACTTTGTAAGTTTATGCATTTATTATATAAAGCACAAACTCAGACAGGTTTCTCTTTCTGTTTCAGGTGAAAAACGCTCAAGCATCCTCTTTGGCTCTATGGAAGTAAAAGTGCCTCTCCGGTTGTGACCACTGAGCAGAAGAGTGTCACTGTGAAAGAGGACATGCATCCCTTTGGCTGTGAGTCCGAGACCTCCCTTCAGGACCTGTTTGAGTACTTCAAGAGGTGCCTGCAGCATGCAGAGTGGGAGCTGGCCAGTGCCTGCGTGCCACAGCTGGTTAACTCAACGGGAGGACTTTCAGAAAACCTACGAGACATAATCAAAGCTATCGTCTGCCATCCGTACAGTTTAAAGTGAGTCACGCAGCTGCATGTTCACAAGACATTAGGGTTTTCTTTGTGTATAAAAAAGCAAATTGTTTGAGAAATCAAACGTAATGTGATATTGTTATTAGGTCTGCAGCAGTTCTCACCCTAAAAACCTAACGCTGATGTTTGTGTATGTGTGCTGTGGATTTATTGCGTGTTTGTTTTGCAGATGGGAGTCTGTGGGCAGTCCACACAAACTGGCTTGGTTTTGGCTTCAGGTTTTGGAGAAATTGACAGAAGAGCAGGTAATGCTCTGAAGATTTAAGTATTCTCTTGCTCTCTCTATTGTCCTTATTTGACTTAAATGTGAAACAACGTGTTTAGTCGTGTCAGCCTCATGTGGTTTTGTTGGTATCTGAGACCATCTTTGTTTGTGTTAACGTACAATACACAAATCAGAAACACCATCTCAAAAACTGCACTATGTGCTTTCACAGAGCAGACAGTATTGGGTTAAAGGTATCTGAAGCACCATCAACAGTGTGACACGATATCCATCTTGTTTACTCTCCATTTCAGGTTCCTCCCCACATCAGGAGAGAGCTGGAGTTCCTGCTGCTCCTGGAGGAGCTGGGGTCAGAGGGCATACCAGAGACTGTTCTCAAGGTTATTGTTATTTTGACTTTTGTCGGTAATCACACATACAGTTGATAATGAGGAAGTTAAAAATAGATAGAATAGAATAAAGGGTTTAGATTGAGGCACATTTTATATGTTCACACAGGGTAATTAAACTCAGATTAACTCGATTTGTTTTGTTTTACTGTTTTACACTTTGTGCCTATAGACAGAAATTAAGACTGAGATAAATTATCTTTCAGCAGGAGTTGCACCAGGCCTTCTTGGACACGCAGTCTAAACCAAAGGCCCCAGACGGTTCAAGGACAACAGATGCTGCTGTTGAGTCTTGTCTGCGAACCTTATTGGAGAAAAAGAAGCCCAGACTTGCCCAGACTCTTGCACATTTCTTACAGGTAAACTGAAATAAAGAATAAAAAGCATTATACAAAAGTGTAAGAATAGAATTTTTGTTTTATGTGCATGTATGTGGACATGAATTTATAAAACTGATGGCTACAGATGTCAGTATAAGACAAAAAACAAAACAAAACATGCACATTATACACCTTGTTCTGGGTGTTTTTAATACAAAATTATCATCTGTATACAGTACCATATACAGTATTTACTACCAATTTTATGTGTTGTTTATACAGTAGTAATACAATACTTGTAATAATAATACTTACAGAAAGTACTGTATAAATCCTAAAGGTACAGCTTCATAAAGCTGTTAATGTTCATATTGTTTGTAGTTGTATGGTTAAAAACAAACATTTTGTGAATGTGTAGAATTTGCTCATTTTACAGCACCAGCGCGCTTTATTCTCCTTATTTTCCCCACCTCCAACAGGACCAGTCATGCACAGAGGACCATACTCTGCAGCACACGTTCATCCAACACCTGGTGAAGAAACTGGGAAAACCGGAGAGGAGGCAGGAGGAGGTGGAGGAGTGGGTGGAGGAGATATACGCCGTGCTGTCTGTGATGCCATGGAGCTCTCGTAGAAGCGGAGGGCAGCTCGAGGCGCTGTGTGAGGCGCTGTGGGCGGCCAGAAACGGGCCCCTGAGAGAGGAGAGGATCCTGAGTTCTTTGCTTCGCCCTCGGTGCGACGCTCT